GATAATGTAAGAATAAGAAGAACTTTATGAAGAAAAGTAATGGTAAAAGAGGCAAAGCTTACAGAATATCAGTTGGGAGTCAATTTGATTTCCAGTTCCCCACTTAAAAAGGGAAGAGAAGGAAAGGACAAGGCAGGTCTTTTGGGTTGTTGCAACCAATACTGGGCACAGCTGTGAGCAGGGAATGAAGAGAAGAAACTTAGTATGTTGAGTCAATAGTGAATAATACAGGTAAAGATGAAGTGTGTAAATAGTTCGGAATATACAGCCACCAAAGAACACAGAGGCAACAGAAAGTTTAACTTTGGTCTCCTATATGTTTTTCTATATGTTTTTCTTAAAGCATATAGTCATATGAAGTAGTTCAAGGGTGGCACACTGTGTTTAAGTTCATGCACGAACTTGGTAGTGAATATGTGAAGTTTATGGAAAATGAGATCGGTAGGAGAGAGTAGGGTGGGGAGAAACAGGAGTGATTGATTTTCACAAGGGAAAAGTCGAAAAAGTCATAGGAAGGTATTATTGCATGAAACTATCTGCAGTCCTCCGAGGATTTGTTTCAAAATGCCAGGGGGGAGAGCTGCTGTAAGAGAGCTCAGTTCTGTATTGGAAGGGTGCTTTATTTCACCTGTGAGCTGAGCAGGGAAGGGGAGAGGAAGGGAGCAATAGGATAATGGGGCACATCCTTAAGCTCCTCCTGAGGAGTGTAAGGATGAGAGAAGGTGGTTGCTTCCCAAGAATGCCTATATTCCATTCCTTGGCCATAAGTAACGACAATAAATTTCTGAAATCCTAGTTTTTATGATGGTTTTATCAAAATTCTTACATAGTCCCAGTACACAGCACCTTTTCTTATGAATTTAACCTCTGCCTTTTGTCTGTGTGCTTCATGTGAGTGGCAAGCTCTGATGCTTGCCAGTTTTCATTCCTCTAGTGATTTTGCAAAGTGTAATCATTGTAAAGTGCAATTGCTTAATATGTAGCTCATTCACTAAAACCCCAAGGATAAAGGCAGTGAGTAATGTGAGTCATTACCAGAGCAATGGTATCTGAAAAGATGAAGACTCGTGCATCAAGTACCAATCCATTTAGTCTTGAATTAAGAATTTTAAGAAACCACTAGTCGGATGTGATTGATACTATCTCCAGGCAAATTAAAGTAGTTACCCTGGAATGCTGTGCTGCTGCTAATGTTTTTCTCCTTCGTTTTTAGAAGTGCTGATCAGTTACATGTCCCTACTGCTCTGTTTGTCTGTCCAAGAAGTTTTCAGACCAGCAGCTTTCCCAGGTGCCTTTTGCACCTCTCTTGCCTTTCCAGGCACTATATACCTTCATGCCTGAAATTCAGAAACTTTGTCCAGAAAATATGAAGAACTCTGCTGACTTGATCAGCAGTGTTGAGGTTCAAACTTGTGTATTTCAAGTCACACCTATTTTTTTTTCAGCCATTCACGTTTCAACAATTTTCTTGCTTTTCTTTGTACTAAGTCGTAAGAGCTGGAATAGATTTTTTTTCTCCATCTCATTCCAGTGATGAACTTTTAGGTCCAAAGACATAGAATTTGACTGGACAGACAATGACTATAAATGACTGGAGTGTTTACATTTCTATCATCAATCTGAGAGGGTAATTTGCAGCTTAATAGGCACCGTGAGCTGCCGTCTTACTTCTTGCATGCTGTGAGATGTGCAAGTGCCTGCATAATGTTATATGTAGCAGTCTGATGGGGCACCCAGGTTTAGCACTGGTGAAATGATTTATGCACACCTGTAAATCAGGAGTTTATGTTTTGTTTCCAAGATTTCCCGTGGGAACAAAAATGACAGGCTTCCTGAATTACAATACCAAAAAAAATCTGAACAACAAAACGAGGCATGTGCTGGATGTATAACTCCCTTGAAGTCAGCAAGGCTTGGGTAGCATTACATCAGTTGGGATCTACAATTAGAGGTCAATTATACCTGTCAGTGATATTTTTAAATCATAAAATAATGCATGATAAATTAGTAAAGTACTTCAGTCTGCAACACTGTTCACAGACCACACTTATAAGGCATTGTACTATACAATCATCTTTAATTTGTGCATCACAACCAGACCACAGCCTTCTACTGGGACTTCATTGTTCTTAAAATAGGGGTTATAACTCACAAGTTGTGCTACAGTGCGTCCCTTGTTGAAATTATTCCAGAAAGGGTAACAGTAGACTACAGGTAATCTTTAGACTTTAGAAATCAGGTATGCATAATCCATTTCTGCATGCTAATTTCTGTCTATATGTCAGTTTTTCAAGCCTTTTGGAGGCAACTTTTTTATTCTGTGCTTCCTGTAACTATTGACAAGCCCCTGAAATACTGACAATACCATCAGGGCTTTTCTCCTCCTCTGGCACTGTGTGTTGCTTTGCATTGTACCTGTGATTGCCCATAGTGCCTGTGATCAGTACAGCCCATAGAGTGTACCTTGGACAGTCTCTTTAATGTTTTATTTTTTGTACTGTATTGCATAAGAACAGGTAAGATATTTACATTGGTAGCCTTTGAGTTTTGGGGGCACTGTTACTTTGTTTAAGGATCTCAAACACACTGGGAGTAGTACTATCTTCATGAGATTTTACAGGACTAAATTCTTCTAAGTGACCCAATCAAATGACTTGAAGAGAAGCATCTACAGATCAAACCTGACAATGTCAGATGTCAAAGTAGGCGATGCAGTAAGAAACAAAACTGTCATATTAGATCAAAGGTTTACAGGTCACTGGTCTAGAAAAAGTATGCTTTTCACAGCAGAAATTATCTGACTTGGGTTTCACCCTTGAACACAGGCACACAGAATCCTTTGGGACACTATATTATATGAAAAAAACACAGATTTTTTCCTTTTCTCCCCTGTTTGGTTGAGCTGGGAATCCTCGACAGAAGCTGCAAGAAGCAAAACCTGAGGTTTAAGTCTACTACAGTCCTTGAAGGTAGCTGCACACACGCAGACTATTTTGGAGAGCGTGAAAAATAAACAAGCTGTGCTTCTAAAGGCAGGCTTCAGGAAGCTCCCCAGAATTGCCCAGTGGTTACAAAGCTCATCTGTGGGTGTTGCACTTGGCTGTAAGACAGGTAAAGTTTGCATCACGTACTTAAAACTCAGACATACAAAAGCTAAGGAGCACATCCTCTCAAAGGTGAAAACCAGCGCCATGTCCAGCAGGCACTTCTGTGTTCCCAACCAGGAGAACAACCTCCTCAAGCCTGGAGAACTGTAGGAAGAGGTCTGCAGAAGGTAGACACTAAGGCAGTATGTGGAGACTTTTTCACAGTATCTTTCACATTGCTTTCAGGCCAATGAACATTTGCCACTAATACAATAGGAAAGAAATTATGTATATAGAAGATTTGTTACACATGAGTGCTTGCAGTTGTTTTCAACTGTGAACTCACTGCTCTTTAGTGTTGATATTGACTGACAGTTCTTTGTTTCTGTAAGTTTGTACATACACAAGAGGTTTTTTGTTGTTTGGTTGTTGGGGTTGTTTCTGTTGAAAGAGCTGGCTGGTCCAACACCAAGATTTGTCCTGTGAAAATTATTTTTGTTTTAATTGTTGTATATTAGAATACTGAGAATTAAGCCCTTCCCTTTTAAAACTTACTTGCCTGATACTTGCATCTCCGTTCAGTGTTTCACTTTGAAAGGCTTTTTGTCTTAAGTGATACTAATGATAGGCAACGGTGTCCTTTCCTCCGTGTCAAACTTGTCACTGTTCCTGGTGATGGTGGATAGTTGATAAGGGACGACTGCCCATCGCTCTGAAGTGGCACAGAGTTGTCCTGATCGAAGTATCTGCTTGTGCCAGAATCAATGTGAAGAGTCTTAAAACTGATACCTATCTTTTCTCACTGGAGAAGTTACATATTGATGAGCTGGTGGGAGAACATAATGATTTTTAGGAGATACAAATCTCCAATGGTGCTTTCTTTGATTTAAAAGTAACTTTTTATGTTTCATTTCAGTTGGTCTCTAGCAAGTTTGCTAATCCTTTGTGGGTCTAGATAGGTTTAACACTAATTTATTATTTTAATAACGGATACAAATCAGGCTGGTGCAACTGCCCCAAATCAGAGTTTGACTGCAGTGAGGCAAACCCTCCTGCATGAATATGTCTTGTTAGAATCCTGTTTCTAACAATTTGGGTTGAGTAATTCCTTGCCAATATAAGCTTGATCTGTATAAACCAGTCAGTGAGAATCTTTCAATCAATAAGTGTTTATTATCATATTGTATAAGTTGGAGCAGTTTTGTGCATGAATTGCATATGCTGGTTTAAACCTAGTTCAGCTTGGCTTAGTTACTCAGACAGGTTCATGCTGAATAAACATTCAATTCCTGCAACACAGTTCACATATACATGGCACTGGAAAAACTAGTTTTACTTTCAAACCAGCTCTAATGATCCCTAAGTTTCCATAAGAGAGTTTTCCCATGCATCAGTTAATAGGCTTTTAAATATCATAGGTTAGTGAGGGAGAAGGACTCCATAAAGTCAATGAATTACATTCTCCTGATGTAACCTGGCCTAGAGCCCAGTAATGGATCTGGTAACATTGATCCTCCAGAAAATACCTTATTTGCCCACTTTCCATTTCAAACCAAAGATCGTGCACTGGGTTGTCTTAAGACAACAGGCTACTGACTGGTCCTTCCCCTCTCCTTGCTGCTGCTGCACTCACAGCAAGCATGAGAGGGCTCAGGGAAAAGATTTTCTTTTTTCGCATTGTGGGACATATGTGGTGGCTTGCAAGGACTTGCCTACTCCTCACCGTGGCCGGCAGCTCCAACCTGCCAGGGAAGATGAAGCCCCAGCAGCTGCCCTGCTTAGGTCTGGTCATTTTTGGCTGAAGGTATGTTTCCTTTCTTTTTCAGTTTCTTAGGAAGTGTTTGAAATGCTTTGTCCGTCTGTCTGCACCTCACTGCTCCCAGGTGCTGCTGCTTGCTGGCCTCAGTCCCTGCTTCAGGCCACCAAGTATTTGGGCTCGTCAGGCCGGAGTTTCATGATCTTGTCCATGCAGAGCAAGATGAGAGTCAGAAACCAGAGGCTCCAGCCAACGGCCGCTGCAATCCACCCGTAATCGTCCATGCCCGACGGGCAGCACACGGCTGCCTGCGCGCAGAAGTTCACGTCTGGTGGAGAACAAATGAGGTGAGCTGATGGGAGGCCAAGTACACAACAGGTCTCCTTTACAGTGACTTCACTCTCTACCCTGTGGCCTGTCACTCTGCCTTGGCATCTTTCCCCTAAGCCTGGCTCTTAACCCTGTGGGTGGCAGTACTCAGCCCCATCTGCATGTCTTCAGTCAGTCATCCCTGTCTGGCCAAACACCTCAGCAGCTCCTCGTACCACTGTGCCCTTAATTATGGAAATCTTTTGATTAGCATCTCCTCTGTCAGTTTTAGGAATGGCAGATGATAGAAGTAGCTAGGTAAAATAAAAAATAAACCTGGGGTAGAGAAACCCTCATGTGAGAGAGTAAGAGGATCCCTAGCAGAGACACCTTCAGCAGCATGTCCAGTAGTTTAGGTACCCAATACTTCTGTCAGCAATAGGGGCAGTGGCAGCTCTCTGCTGGGCTCTTAAGTGTGACTTAAGTGTAACAACTGCAAAACACACCACTATCAGGGAGATCCCTGTTTTACATGTTTAAAAATGAAATAATTTTTAACAATTCCATGGGGCTTTTTCTTGTATCTTTTGCATCTTTTTTTCCCTTTAATCAGTCCAATTTCCTAAAGTCAGTTAAGGAGTATCTCATTAGTTGTTTTATTTATACTGTTATTTAAAGGCATCTGCTCTACTTTTTCTGTTCTAAGGGCACAGTGAAGATACCAGCCCTTTGTCTATATCCTGTGTGGTAATGTGGAAATATCAAAGGGAGCCTGAAGGACCATGGTGTTTTGACCCCTTGGGCTGGGACACAAGCTGAGTGTGAAACCCCACCACTCAGGAGTTTACATGTTGATGTGCCCGAAATTGTTAGCTGTGGAAAGGGAATGCCTCCTGAGCTTGGTGAAGGGCATCCAGCCTCTTGCACGTTTCCAGGAAAAGGCAAGTGCAGGTGCTGCTCAGTTGCTCTCTTTCACATATGTCAGGCAGGACCACGACCCTGTGTGTTGGCTTTCAGTGCACACAGTACAACTGTCCTGCACTGCAGAGAGCAGCAGTTCCCATCACAGGGATGTGACTTGTGTGTGCCCAGAGAAGGGAGAGGGATGCCTGTCCTGTATGCCTTTGCCATGTTTTCAAGTGTTGGTACATGTACTATAGTAGGAAGTGCAAGACTGGGGAGATGTCTGACATTTGAGCTGGAGGATGACTCTGGGAGTACTGGTGGGATTTTGGGTTGCTTGGAGCTGGCTCTTTGGGAAAGACCTGAGAGGATAGGGAAAGAGGCACTCCTGGGAATCCATATAGTGCCTACAGGCAGGTTGTCTGGCAGGGAGCTTTGAATTAGCTATCAGCCTGTTCAAACCTATGCGTCTTTCTCAGTGTACCTAAGATACTATACCATGCCAATGGAGGAGCCTTAGAAATGCATCCAAGGTTCATCCACAGCGATAGGCCTGGACAACAGAGAAATCCATTTTCAGGACAGCCTCTCAGTCACCTGTGTAGACTCATCACCTGACTTTAACATGATTTATGAAGACTTACTAAGACATGGTGCTTCGATCTCAGTTGCGATCGTGGAGCTTCCTGAAACATTGGAGATGGCTTCAGCTGCTGCCAGAAGGAAAGCACAGGAGAAAAGGCAAGTTGGATTAGAAAAGCAATACTGGGCATCTAACATGAAAATCTGATAACCATTGGCCTTGCAGAGGTCTGTAGGAGGGAACCAACTTGGAGAAAGTAGGTCCCTGCCCCTAAACATTGCTGCATTAGGGTATGCTTTCTTATCCCACCACTTCCAACACTGGCTCCAGAGATCTGCTGTAGCAGCAGCCATAAGGAGGTGGTGGATCACTGTGTTTCTGCCTGAGTGGGACCCTGGTGTGAGCTCTGTTCACTCAGAGCTTGAATTAACCACTGTCCTTTCCCAAGCTACAGGGGCAGAACAAGCAAGGACTGAAGTGGGAGAGAGCATTCAGTGGCATGGGGAGATCCATGGCCAGCAGGCTGCACACTTTTTGTCTTTAGAACAATCCCAGTAACTCCAGAGTGTGCATGAGTCAGGCAGAGCCAAGGGCTGGGCCCATCCAGGGAGGGCCTAAGCAGGTCCACCATGGCACCAGGGGGTTGCTTTGGCTTTGCTGCAGTTCAGAGCATCTGACACTGCTCTGGCTGGAATCCAGTTTGGACCAGCATGGTAACCAGCTCAGGTTGGAAAATGCATCATACAGAAATATGTAATGGAGGGAGAGGTCCAGGAGATTCGATGAAGGCTTTGCCTCTTTATCCTGCTTCCTACTCATAGTCAGAACACACATACACTCGGGCACAACTCTTTGGCTGGTCTCCAGCCCTCCAAATCTGTCCATGTCACAGGCCAAAGCTTCCTTAGTCTTCCTAATACCTGCCTTGCCTCTCAGCTTCAGTGTGTTCCCTCTAGCACTGCGGGATCAGACACTTCAGGACAGCTTCAGGATGCCTGAGTGAGGGAAAAGCACAGGTTGCTGCGGTCCCTGTACATCAACACCTGTCTGTCTCCTGCTGTGGAAGGAAGGGAATCTAAGAAATACCTCTTCCTGTGCTGCCATGAGCAGTGTACTTCAAGTTTAGCTGAATGGAGCATCCTCTGCACAGATAGATGAAAAATGGCCCGGGAGGCTACAGGAGGGAGGACTCGTGCTGCACGTGGATGCAGGGGCTCTAATGTGCTGGTTGTCCACGGACCAGGCACAAGCTGTGAGATAATGATTTCCAGTCAAACCATCGCTCAGAGCTGATAATTAGGAGTGTGATAACGAAATTCAGTTTCAGCCTGATTTCAATGAAGGCTGCAAAATAATAGCTCAGGTTTAGTTTCAGCTCAGGAAAACAAAACAGAACAAGATCTTTGACCAAACCTTTGCTTTGTGTTTGGTATTTTCCAAGTAACAGCAAATAAACTGAGATCGTCCTGTGGGAGATGTCCCTCTTGGGTCACCTACCATTGCTCAGCTTTGCATTTTGAGCTGACCCACCATCAGCAATACCAGAGCTTTCCTCAGGCCTCTGCCACACTCAGAGTGGGTCCCTGGGCAGCGTGTTCCAGGGAAGGGTCTGAGTACTCCCCATTCCTCTGTCTGACTCTGTTAGGACGCTTGTTGAATGACCTTGGCCAAGCCCGTAATTTGTTTTCTCAGTTAATAAGTACCTTATGGGAGCACTGGGAAGAATCATTAAAACCTATGTGTGACCTGTGGAAGGAAGTGCTGCAGAATGCTGAGCATTGGTTTGTTGCTATAGACTTTGCAGCACAAAGAACAGGCTTTCAAAGCTAACCCATCTTTAAACAGCTGGCAGGTCTCATCTGGTGCTGACATACAAATGCAGGCAGGACCCTGGTGGAAATAGGGCAGCTCACAGGTCTCATTTGCATTTTGGTTTTAGGCAACTTTTGTAATTAAGGTGGGACCAAAACCAGATATTCTGCAAAAAGCACCTCATAAAAGCTAAACCAGACTACATCAAGCCCCTTGGGTGTTACTGCAAATGGTCCTTTCCTCAGCAAGCACAGGAAGACCAAGTAACTGTGGTCTATCTCCTTGCCATTCAGTGGAGCAACCTGCAGCTCAGTCACACGTACAGTGGATCTGTAAATAGCTGTCAAAAGAGCATCTCTGCAGAAGGATGCTGTGACCACTCATGTCCAGTAATTCTCATTAGCATTAATCAATTCCAGCTCTTTAGACTTCATAGGTGAGAAAAGGGAGCCCGCCTCATTTTGAAAGAACAAATTACTGCCAGTGGGCAGTATAGGTGGGGGAAAAGGGCAGGGTGTGAAAACTGAAGCGTAAGAGAAGAGAAATACCTGCTGAGCAGGAATCCCAGAGCGCAGCAGTGAAGAGGAGCACAGTGAAGGCTGCCCAGGGCTCGAAGTGCTTCATGCTGGGGGCCCAGCTCCCACCCAAGTGTCCACACAGAGCAGGTTGCTGCCACTGGCAGCTCTGGTGCAGCAAATCCTTGATAAATTCAGAGAGCTCATGTGCAGGGCAGAGGGTGGAGCAAGGGAGCTTCCTGCTGCCAGGACACCTTGAACTTTCCTGCCAAAACCAGGTGAGGAAAGAGAAGGGCTCTGACTGAAACAGCTTCAGTGAGAGGTGGATACCAGGAGGTGGCCCCTGAAGGTTAAGCCCAAAGTTTTCTCCCTAGGATATGCTGCAGCTGGAGGAAGGAAAGGCCCCCAGAGCCAGCCCTTCCCAACAGGGTCCCAGGTAGCTTCTTAATCTCCTTTTGGTCCTGTAAGGATGTTATAATAGAGCTGAAAAGGAGCAGAGGATTGGGTTAGAGAATTTGCCTCCCTATTTGGCTTTGATTTTACATGTTTTCTTGCTTGACTTTCCCAGTGATGCTTTTTTGGAAGGGCTGTGTGGAATCCTAAAAAACATCAGCCTTAGGTTATGCTGGTACGGCAGCTGTTGAATTAACACCAGATACACAGGGTGTGGGCACATTCCCACCATGAAATGGAGTGAAACCAGTGGCTTTCTGTAGGCTACTGACAGCTATTGCAGAGTGTACCAATGGCCTGGGTTGGGATCAGTTCAAATTTGTGGCCTCCACGTAGAAAGAAGCTGCTGCTGTTCTCGCCCTGTGAGCGCAGTGGTGTCACTGCCTCCATTGCCATCTGCAGCATGGTTCTGGAAAAGCTGTTCTTTCTTCTCTGGTGGTTCTGCCACCTCCTCCTTGACATGGGCAAAGCCAGAAGTTGTGCCTTCCCACCAGCAGAGCTCTATCTGCAGACAAAGAGGGCTGCTGGCAAAATGATACCAGCTGGAGAGTGAGAGTTGTTCCGCAATCATGGTTGAAAAGCCACATTGTTGAAGTGCTGGTGTTGTTTTCCTGGTCTGATGAGCAGCACACATTGCAGCTCTTCCCTAGGCTGTTTTGGCTGTGCTTGTTCCTATCTTTGATGTGATTATGCACTTGCTAGAGAAAATTTTAGGCATTTAATCAGGCAGGAAGGCACTGGGAAAGGTGGGCTCCTCAGGGAGCAAGTTGCTGGTGCCCTTCTGCAGTGGTCACTCATGGCTTTGGGTGCTCATGTTAGAATGGAGCTGTCTGGGGCCTGTTCTGAATATGCAGCCAGTCTTAGAGGAGGCACAGGGGAAGGCACCTTGGGCAGCAATCCTTGTAGGATGGAGAGAAGTTATTAATTTTCTCTTTTTTTCCTTTCACAATGCTAAAACCCACAGGGAGGGACATGACAGGCTTCCCATGGGAATGGCATGGAACAGGGGACAGCTATGCAAAGCTGTGAGGTGGATTTGGTCTCCTTCATTTAAGAAAAACCTTAGCAGCAAAGCCCTTCTTAGCCCTGCCCAGCATTTCTGTGGGGTGAACCCACTTGTCCTCTCTCGCCGCCAGAAACATTCTGTTCCCACCCAGCTGCAAATATTTCTATGATGCAGCAGGACACGGCAGCTGGAGGTTCCCTCCAGAGAGAGGGCACACTGAGCTGCAGATGAAGGCAGGTCAGCTGAAACGGGCATGTTTACCCACCTTGTCTCCCTGTTTTCATGTCAACACGCTGCCAGGGCTGGCAGAGTCAGGGCTGTGCTGGCTGGTCCGTGACAGCCACCTCCTGCTGCTGCCGGGATGCATGGCCCTGTCCTTCAGCTGACACCTGAGGGGTGGCACAAGGTGTGTTGTGCTTGGCTGGCAGCCAGGCTGGGTGTGTGACCCCAAGGCTCTTGGCCTTGGCAGTCCTCAGTCACGGCAGGAGAGATGCTGTAGAAGCACTCCAAGTGCTCAGAGCTGCTCCAAGTTCACCTATAGGATGATCTTCATCTCTACCTCGTTTCAGTGTCTAAGTCCTCTTGTGGTGGTTGCTTTTGATTTATTTGACTGTATATATCTGAGCTACCTGTTGCATCAAAACTAAACCTCAACTCTTTACCAGGAAAAGGCTCTCTCCTTTCTTCCAGTTTCATCTTTCCCTCCTGAATTCCTCAACCACAGTTCCCCCTGAAAGTTGACCTGGCAGTTAATTTTGCAAAAGTAATGAGTACAAAAGTGTTCTGTGCAGCACAAAATGCTTGAGGGGAAATGAAAAGACAAAACTGCTCTACTGTTGCATGGATGATTCCATTTGTAATGAAATGTCTTTTGAATTTTAACTATTAACTAAATGCTTTTTGTCAGCTTGCAGGTAAATGTACCCGTTTCTAAAGGATGCTGAAAATACATTTGCAAAATTAACATAATGTATTTCTTTTCCTTTCCAAAATGTGTTCCCTCTGTGGTTCATCAGAAAGGGCCTGCTCCAAACTCTCCTGAAGCGGTGAACAGGCTGCACTTGGCTTCAGCAATTTTTGGATCAGATTGGAAATGAGGGCTTTGCTTGGTAAGTTCAGACACAATGGGAGCTCTGTAAAATCATTTCCTGACACAAATTTGGATTTGTTTCACTTCTTCTTTGTAACACATTCATATTTCAGTGCTGTGACTGCCTGAAGAGTGATAAGATGCTCCAAAGCCTTCCCCTAGTTTCTGTACTTGTCTCCCTCCATGAGAGTGCCCTGGCACACAAGGCTCAGCCGCAGTCCCTGCAGAGACAGGGCTTCCTTTCCTCAGGATCCCATTTTCATGCAGTTCTCAAGGCAGTTCTCTATTTACTCTAAAATCAGATACTTCCCCAGCTCTCCCCTTGGAGTCTCTTTGCCAGGTGCTGCTGGTCAGCTTTCCCTGATGGTTACAAATGAGGCCAATACCTACCATGCAATATGTTTTGTGCCACGGAGAGCTTCACAGCTCAGATTCTCTGATGACCGAAGTATTGCCCTTGACACGTCACCACCAGGTGTGGCTCTCAGACAGGTATCACACACGTACACTCTGTCTCTTTCTCTCTATATATTCTGTTTACATAGGCAAGGTGTTTGTATTTTCCATTCCAAATGAAATCTGATTGCTGCTGCAATTGTGTTCCATCCCTGCAGTCACCAGCACGATGGCAATTGAGCCATAACAGGGTATTTAACTCAGGGCAAAACACACAGTCCACAAGAGCAGAGCAGGCACATCATCTCTGGGTGTATCAGTGGTAGAGGATAAATCTTTTTTTTCTGATTGTCACTTGAGGTTGGGATAACTGCACCCCTACTCTTGTTTCGGCATACCTGAGGTGCTACTGTGCTGTTACAACAAAAAGGATTTTTGGTAGAAGAGAGCTCAAAAATTAATATCCCATGTAACCACACAAACCCTGTGCATGGTGGAGCTAAGCATGGACTGATTATAGCTCTGATTCCAGAGCTACCTACAGCTGCCTGACGCTTCCCAGTGCTGCTGAAGGTGATGACAACCCAACTGGAGGGGTTGTGTGTCAGGAACCCCCCTGAGCTGTGTGAGTTGGCACACTGAAGTTGCTGGTTAGTTGCTGTGTGCAGCCATTGAGGCCATGATGCTAGACACCAAGGTGTTCTGTGCTCTTGGTGGGACCATAAGAGCAGATCTATCTCTGACAATTTCTTTGTAGTAGCAAAATCTCACAGTTGAACTCTGGAAAAGGCATTTGTTGGTGGAATAGGTCTGACTGTTAGCAATCCCGTCTTTGTATTGTGGGATGAACTCCCTATTTTATAAAGGCCTTTATAAAACTCAAAAATGTTTAAGAGTCTTTATAAATCCCTAAAAATTACTTTTAAAAGCTCAAAATCATAAGTCTGATGCCAATAATGTGTCCATCAGGAACAGGGCTGATTTTATTGATGTGAAAAATAGGCATCTCAGATAAAGCTACCTGTGGACACAGGATTTGATTTTTAAAACTTGGCAAATGGAGAAAAATATCAAAACCACAAAGGCTTTGCTCTTTAAATGAAAGAAGGGAAGAGAGGATGTTCTATCACACAAAGGAATGCAACTCTAGCATTTTGAAGAAGAACCCTGACCCTGCCCTTTGTGTTTTCCAGTCCAGGCTGGGGTTGCTATTAGACAAATGTTGAGCCTGTGGCCCTGCGGTGACCCCGTGCTGTCCCTCTGGAGACCCCAGTGAGAGGGCCCAAGCTCAGCCAGGCAGTGCAGGGCAGCCAGAGAAGGGCTGCCTTCAGCTCTCACGGGCAGAGCTGCCGGCACCAACAATGGGCCCACTGATGGGGCTTCTGCAAGTGGTGCCTCATCATCGGCCGTCATCATCCGATCTGCATTAATGAGATTATTAGAATATAATGTTCTTACTCCCACATGCCAGAGGCATGAAATGGGATATGCTTTCTGCTTCTCTCCTTTCTGCTCCTCGTGTGGGAAGGGTGCGGGGGAGGGCAGGACAAATGGCTTTATCCCTGCTTTCCATGTTTTCTTGCTCCTTGGCTAACAGGACAGCTGGCATAGTGCAGCTTGCTTTGGCCATAAAGTGTGTGCTGGGACCTGTTCTAGTCCCCCAGCCCTGACAGCTTTTAGTGGAGTAGCTGAGTGTAATTATGGGGCTGGATAAGAGCAAGTAAGAGCAGCAAAGGTGCAAAACAGAAGCAAATCCTGGTAGTGTCAAATGAGTCCTGGGGAAAGAATGTGTTCAGAGGTGAGGGGAGTAGCCTGAGAAGCTGTTTCGTTTTGTTGTGTCAATATAGACCAGTTGAGAACTGAGTGATGACTCCTCTTATTTAGTATTACTGCATGGGTTATAAACAAAGGCCTTGCTTTGCCACACCAGTTTCTCCACAGCCCTGCATGGCAATCGTGTGGTTGACAGCAATGATTTCACATCTGCCTTATCAAGGAAATTTCTAATTTCCCAGCAGAAAGCGCTGACTTTCATCAGCTTTGCTTTGGTAGAATTGATAGAGAAAGCAGAACCAATTGTGGGCAGTGGCTGGTACAGGAGGAGCACAGTGCAGGCACAGGGGGTGGGAGCCCAGGGGGCCTCACGTCCAGTTCAGCTGGGTGG